CTTTGCACGCCGTTCGCTTCGAACAGCGCGAGGCCGCAGCTGCCGCCCCGCCGCGTCGCCCGAAATGCCAGCGCACGTTTGCACGCAAGCTTGCAGAGCGAGCTTTCGCTTCGCCGTGTACCGTCACTCTGCTCAAGCGCATCTCGGCCCGGGGCCTCCAGGAGCCGACGGCGCCAGGAGGGCTGCAACAGCGCGGGTCATCGCTCACGGAATCGCTCAAAATGGTGCGCCCCAGATGGCGCTGGGCCACCTTGAGGACATTCAGCGGTGGCTGGACTACCACTGGCCGCATGCGCGTGCTCGCCCCGAAACAATGCGTTTTCGGGTGCGGGAGCCAGCCAGATTCATTTCCCCACTATCACACCTGCCCCTCGCTTTCGAACCTCCTCTGGTCCCCTGATCCCCCCCTCCTCCGTTCGACGCTCGCAGCCTAGGGCCTTGGGCCCGCAGCTGCGTACCCGCCCAAGAATCATAGTCCGCTTCCGTTGCGCTCGACGGATGCGCGCATCACGCGAGCGCTTCACATCAGCATCACGCTGACCCGAGCTCACGCCCTGCGGCGATGGCCGCAGCGAGCCGAACTGCCAAAGCACTACTCTATAGGTGAGAGAGCTAGCGACGGGCGCTGCGGACGGACATCATTTGCCCTCGTCTCGCTTCGTGCCCGATTGCCCTCTTCTCGTCTTTCAGGGTACCTTAACTCCTCCCTCTCCTCCTCCTCCCCCTCCTCTCTCCTCCTCAGCCTCCTCGCGACTCCCTGGGAGGCTGCCGACTGCAAAGTTGTCGCCGCCTTCGTGGGCTTCGGGGAGGTCCAGCGGAAGCGGTCGGCGGACGAGCCTCGCCACGGCGCGGCCCTCCGCGGACGCGCCGCTATGCTCGGGGTCGCCGCTCTGCGTCGGCGGCGAGGCAGGGAATGTCTGCGCTAGTGGAAAGGCCTCAACGGAGGTGCCGTTAAGGTAATGTGTGCCACCATGCAAGAGGGGGATCAGTAGGAGGACGCGGCCGAAACAGGGGGCGGAGGTAGCGAACCGCTCAGGAGGACGGGTCACGCCTTCAGCGCGTGGCAAGAACTGTATACACATCAACGTTCGGACGTCCGCGCGAGCTTCTTGAATCGGCGCTGGACTTACCCTGAAGGCGCCTCCGGCGCCGCCACTGTCGCGCTGGTCGCGCCAGTCAAGGGATCCAGCGCCAGCCCAAGAGAGCCGCGCGGAACTCCGAATGCGTACGTTTTTTGCGATTTGTTCCCCCGCTTGTGGCGTTTCCAGCTTCGCCTTCGTGGGATCGAGGAGTGGGCCGCCCTTGTCCGGTGGGGGGCTGGCGGAAGCAGGGCGGAAGCAGAGCGGGAGCGGCTTCGCCACCGAAGTGCAGGCGGGAGTGAAGGATCTCCCCCAAGAGTTGTGATGTTCCAACATCATTCAGCCTAGATCACCATAGTGAGTTTCGAGCACGAAGAAGGTTCCGAAACTTGAGGGTCTTCACGTGTCGGGCCCTGGGAGGCGATACTCGTTTGACACGGTTCCGATACTTGTCTGGATGCTCGGAATTATTTCAGGGACGTGCTCCTTAAGTACGATGGGAACAACAGAACCCAAGAGATAACAAGGTCCATGTGTTCAGGGCTTCGGGGGTTGACCACACAGGGGGCGAGTCAAGCAGTGGTGACGCGTCTTGGCTCGGCGATGGGCCCACCAGAGAGGGTTCTGGGAATTCTGTGTGGTGTTCAGGGGATGTTCGTAGAGCCTGCCTGGCGGAGATAGGCTCGGCGCAACACATCGGATCGACGCTCGGAGAACACAGGTTTGGTTATTGGGACGTTCTTTGGCTCGGAGAACAGTCCGTGGCAGGCTCCTTATTGGTGCCGGCACGGTCGGCCTGTGCTCAGTCGAGGAGGCAGCACATGGGGGGAGGTAGGAGAGAGGATGGGGGAGAGGGAAACGGGGAGATAGGGGAGAGGGGAGAGGATGGGGAGAGGGAAATGGGCAGAGAGGTGAGAGAGGGGCGAGGATGGGGAGATAGGGGAGAGGGGAGAGGGCAGCACATTGGGGGGAGGTAGGGGAGAGGATGGGGGGAGAGGGAAGCGGGACCAGCAGGGAGCAGGAGGGCGCAGGCAGGCGCGCCTCGCCGAGGTTTTTTTGGACCCCGGCCCGGGGGATGGGCGCGCAAGAGCGCGCCCCCCAAATCGCGTGAGATCAGTCAACGTTCTCTTTGGCCGTCGGCCGTCGTGCCCACGATGACGTGTTTACGCGTGTCGGACTGCCGTGATCGGACAGAGCGCGCCCCCCCAATCGCGTGAGATTCGTCAACGTTTTCTTTGGCAGTCGGCCGTCGTGCCCACGATGACGTGTTCACGCGTGCCGGACTGCCGTGATCGGACAGAGCGGCCGAGTGGCGACGTGCCGTTCTCAGGGTCGCTCGCGCTGTCGAGAGTGGCGGGCCCGCGCGGGATGGTGTTCTCCGCTTCTGGCCTCCGTTCGCTGCCTCCGCCAGTCAGCACGCTTGATGTTGACGGTCCTCCGCGGCAATGGAAGAGCGTCTTCATGTCTTCGCCTAACGGGCACTGGCCCCGTAATGTATTCATGCACCTTTTGTGGCCATGCCCCTCTTCATGGCCAATGCGGCCGTGCTGCAGAGTTCCAAGTCTCGAGCGCGCCCGCGGCGGGTCGTCCTTCGAGCACGTCCGCCGCACGATGTCTGCATGCTTCGCCTCATAACATTTCTCTGGGCACTGGCAGCGATGGTTCCGATGCTGCGGCGTGCACGCGTGTCGCAGGCGTGGCTGGCGCCGATCTCTCTGACGCGCGAGGGGGTCGGCGCGGTCCTGCCAACGCAGGCTGCGAACCGACGGGGCTGCGATCGGCTGCGCAGCGTCAGCGTTCGTGTCGGCATCTGTCTGCTCCGCGCTTGCCGAGATGCGTGCTCCAGGTGCAGCTCTGCGAGGGCAGCTCTTGAACATGGTTAGCTCTGGTGCCTTCTGTGTTGCCCACGGGCAGCCGGGTCTCGTCCTGGAGTTCATGCAGTTGCGCGCAGGCAGTGTCGGCCCTTGCTGGCTGCAATCAGTTTGCGACTGCTCGTGGCCATGCGCAGTCTGGCTCCGTCTGCTCCGCCCCGCCGTGCCCTCACTCTCCGTGTCCTCCGCCCCACGAGCAGCTGACGACTGCACCCGCCCGTCCCCCCGTCCGCCCCTACGTGCGTGATTGCTGCCCCTGCCTCTCTCCCCCTCTCCTCCTGGTCCGTGTCTGTTCGGTGCGTTTCTCCACGTCCTCCCTCCCCTCCTCCCCTCCCCTCCTCCCCTCCTCCCCTCCCCTCCTCCCTCCTCCCCTCCTCCCCCTCCTCCCTCCCTCCCCCCCCTCCCTCTCCCCCTCCTCCCCTCCCCTCCCCCTCCCCTCCCTCCCCTCCCTCCCTCCCCTCCCTCCCCTCGTCCTCCCCTCCCCTCCCCTCCTGCCGGCCGGGAGACCCCAACCCGCGGGCGGCCAAAGGTGCGGTCGGCGGGCCGGAGGCCGCCTGGGGCCCTCGTGGGCTCGTCTTCGAGCCCTTCACAGTGCAAAAAAAAATGGCCTCCTCCTCCTCCTCCTCCTCCTCCTCCTCCTCCTCCTCCCCCTCCTCTCCTCCTCCTCCTCCTCCTCCTCCTCCTCCTCCTCCTTCCTCCTCCCCCTCCTCCTCCCCCTCCTCCTCCTCCTGGACCCTTCAGGCCCTGTGGCCTTGCACATCCTGCCCCGCATCGCGCGGTATACCGCCTGTGTTGTGCTCGCTGCCAGCTCTTCTCTCCGTCGTGTGCGGACGCTCTGCCCGAGGCGTTGTGGGCACGTGGCTTCCTCGGCAGCCCCTTTGCCGGCCCCGGCGGCCAGACAGAAGTTCACCGCGACGGGGCGCAGCGGGGGCCGTCGGCAGTCAACTGCAGCCAGTGTAGGCACGCTTGTGCTCCCACCCGCGGCCCCTTTGAGCGCAAGTGTCGTCTTGGAGTTGGCTCGTTGGCTCGTTGGCGCTGGTTTCTAACTGCCCCAGAATTTAGCCCCTACTTTCTTATTTTTTCCGCTTCCCAGTTCAGCCCCCAAATTTCTTATCTCATGGTTTTCTTAATATTGACCGGGGGTGTAGTGCACACTTCACCCTCTTATCGTTTCCTTGACGCCGTCGGGCTCCACTTCCGCCTCCTGCGTTCCGATGGCGCGCAGCCGAGCGGCCGCCGCCAATACCGCCTGACTCTGGTCTCCCCCCCGCTGCCCCCTGTTCCCCCCTTCTCCCCCTTTTTCCCACATCAAGGCGGTGGACTAGGAGTGGGAAAGGGGGGTCACGTAAAGAGGAGACAGAGAGGGGCTTGAGTATGACGAAGATGTTTGGGGAGGAGAAGGACGATGAGAACGCAGAGGATCAGGAGGGGAAACACTCGCAGAGAAGACCATACACCCCACATTCGGGGAGGGGGGGGGGGCAGGCAATATTTCGCGCATGCCAAAGCAGAGGAACGACGCGTGAATTACTAAGTACGTTCAGTCGCGCATGCGTGTGTACCTTCGTGCGTGCGTACGTTCATGTACAGCCGGGTTTAAATATGCTACATGATGGAGGGGTGCGTGGCAGGATCTGGTCCAATGTTCCAGATGTTGCAGATGTATCATATCGTGGCAGTCGCGCCAGCAAAGACATTGCCCTTCGATGTGTACACAAGGAGCCCCCGTTCTCCAGTGCGGCGTGGACAATGGCCAGCACGTGCCACGCCTGCATGGCCAGCGCGAGCGCATGAAAAGGGTGGCCGTGTGCCGCCCCTGGCCTGTTCCTACGGCCATTCCTTTGGCCTCGCTGGGTGGGCAATGGCCAGCCCGTGCCCCACAGGCGTGGTCAGCGCGAGCGCATGAAAAGGGTTCACGTGTGTCGCCCCGGGCACGACCATGGCCGAGGACGCCGTGGTATAGTTTCCCGGCCGGAAGTTGCTCTGGCCGCCGCCCTCGTTGGCCCATCCGCCCAGTCGGACCGCGCCCCGCCCCCTGCAGAGACGTCAGGTGTTGACGAAGTTCCAGCTGCGGCGCCAGGTGAAGGAGGAGGAGATCTGGTCGACGTTCGTGTACAGGAGCAAGTGGAAGGCGGAGTACGAGCGAGCGCTGCACCTCTACAACAAGGAGTTGCCCGTGGTACTCTTGATCCGAGGGTGGCCACCAGTCCGCCGTCCCCGGGACCCCACTTGAGCCACCGTCTCCCGCTCCAGCGCTGGCCCGTCATCCTCCTTCCACCTCATCCTAGGCATCCTTGTCCTGCTCCTCGTTCTCCTCCGTCTCCTCCTCCTCTTCGTCCTCCCCCTCCTCGTCTTACGATGATGATCATCATCACCACCACCATCATCACCATAGTCATCCTCATCAGCATCAGCATCAGCATCGTCATACTCATCATCACCATCATCACCACCATCATCATCATCATCATCATCATCATCATCATCATCATCATGATCACCATCATCATCAGCATCATCATCATCTTTATCATCATCACCATCCGCAGCATCAGCGTCGTAATCAGCAACATCTTCATCATCTGCATCGTTGCCACCAACATCAGCATCAGCACCATCAGCATCAGCATCACCATCATCGGCATCATCCGCATCCTCATTGCCATCATCATCAGCACCATCAGCGTCATCATCATCAGAATCGCCATCTTTACCGTCATCGTCCATAACAATGTTGGCTCATGCTTGAGTCGACTCGAACTGGCCCGCAGCCATGCTGGCTCGAGCGGACGAGGGCTTCGGTTTATCGCCGTCACGATCCCTGCAGGGGCCCCGATTCAGGCGCTGCAGACCTTGAAGTGCATCGCCGGTCATAGGTTAGACTTCGCTCGGAAGTACACCATGGCCGCGATAGTCGAGTCCATCCAGGAGCTGCTGCAGGGCCAGGCGAAGCATGCAGCCTTTCAACACAATGAGTTCTCAGACGCCCTCACCGAGCTCAACGAATCGGAGACAGCGACCCAAAGTCCATCGTGTCCATCGAACGAGCTCTCCCTGAAGATGAACACCATGCAGGCTGAAAGCGAAGAAGTATTCCAATGCTGGAGCAGCTCAACGCCACTCCCGACGGCGTCGAGACTTGGAAGTTGAAGGAGGTGACGCAGCGAACGCCCCAGGGTGCCCGTCAGGCATTGAAGCCCAGACCCAAACCGTTAAGGAAAAACTCTCGGATTTTCAGCACTTTCAAGCAACCGTATCTACGGCCGCTTCCTCTGCCTCTACTCGTTCCTTCAATTCTAGGTCCGACAGGCGCGCGAAGTCCCGCAGGGTCGGCCTGGTTTCTGTGGCCACCGTTGATTAGGACCCAGATCGCACCGAGATATGCGCGCGTGGTTCCCCGCGGAATTTGCACAAGACCCAGCTGGACGCTCAGCCCTCCAGGGGTGACCATGCCCTCGACCTACAAATCGCTCCGCTCGGGTTGAACGCGCGACACGACCACCCCGTACGTAATGAAGTTCAAAAGCGAGCAGGACGCCACGAGCTTTCACGACCATGTCCGGTTGAACCCGCCGCGGTGGCAGGACACCAGGACGAACCAGATCTATTCCTGGCGGGCCGGCGGAGATCTACCTATTGACGTGAGGAAGAGGATTTGCGCGATGGCCAAGGGGCTTGGGACGTGTGCACGAATCTCCTGGACGACAGCATCCCCTGGAAGCCTGAGATGAAGCTCGGATGCGACCCGTGCCAAGGCGAGCACTACCTGCTCTTTACGGCGAGCCCTTCGAACTCGGCAAATTTGCCGACGCCCTTGCGGGCCCTTTTCTTTCAGGTTCCAGTTCAAGGTCCTCAGCAGGCTCGGGATTGGCCAGGCCTCCGCCCAGATTGTTCCTGGGGCGATCCAGACGCTCCTCGAGGCGGCAAGGGGTGGGCTCATGCAGGACACGTGCAGGACCGCGACTTCGTCGGCCCCATCCCCCTCTTGGATCGCGCGCCAGACGAGCGCTAGGTGCGGGGCCGCCCTGTTTGATTCCAGTTTCGTTTCTTGTCCCAGGCCGAAGGCTGGGGGCCAGTTGGACGCGCGCTCGCCGGGTCCCCCGCCCGTCCTCTTCCCCTTCTTCCTCCTCTCCCCCGCGTTTGCCGGAGCGCCAGGGGCCTGTTTCACTGGCGCGTGCGCTCAATTTTTTCTCGCGGAACTCGGGCGCCCTCTTCGGAGCCCCGGCGGGCTCCGTTTTCCACCGGGAGAGAGCTCCCGGGGCAACTTGCACGCTGCGTTAGCACTGCGATATCGCATGCCCGCAGGAAGCCCACGGATGCCAATCGGACCTCACCAGCCTGGATCGCGACTACCCCGACCTCTTTCATTTCAGCTCCTGTCTACCTTCTCGCGCTGGCGGCGTGGTTATTCCGATTCGGAAGTTTGCGATCCGCGCGCATCAAGGCCGACGTGCGCGATCTGGCATCGATCGCGGGCGCGTCCTCTCACCAGTTATCCAGGGGCCGCCCTGGCTGCCCCAGGTTCACCAGCGCCCATTTTGAGCCGCGAATGAAACGCGACCTCAAGTTGGAACCCTGGCAACATATTCCCAGCCTGCCCTTGGGCTCCGGGCCGCTTCGGTTTTTCCCGGGGTGGGCGACTGGAACTTCCTGGAGCCCGGTGAACAGTTTCTCTCTCGCGCCCCATGGGGCGCCCGCGGCGGCGACGGCCTCTCGCTCGGGCGATTTATTCGGGCGACGTTTCCCCCGACTTGCCGAAGCCGCTCGGCCTGATTTCGCTCGCAGGAGGGAAGCCCGCCAGGCCGCTGCTAGCTCGGTTCGTTGTGATACATGGCGCTGTAACTTACCCAGCTCTGTTCTCCTGGAGGTCTGCCCCAGAAGTTGTCCAATCGGGCTCGCTCATGACCGTCGGGGGCAGTCGGATCGGGCCCCGGCGGCGTTCCAGCTGGCCCCCAATGCGATGTCCAGCACGATGTCCCCCAGATGGGTCGCCAAACATTTTGAGAGTGAGTCTCTCCTGCGTCGGGCTGTTTGGGGGGCCGGTTTTGCTGGGGGTCCCAGAGAGCGGCTCATGCAGATCAAAGTGCGCGCGCGCGCGGTGACGGCTTGCGCCAGGTGCCCTGGTTCCGGCCCGAAGTCGATGCCAGTTTGAAGGTCCGCGTGCAGCCCCAGAGGCCCCACCGCCAGCAGGCGAAGCGCTGCCCCCAGGCTCCCCCAGCAGCGCAGCAGTTCTTCGACGGGGGGAGATGCCCCCCCCCCCCCCCCCCCCCTCGACTCGACAGCGCGCGGCGTCGCCTGCATTCCCGGGGCCGCTGCAGCGACGCCCCGCGCGCGGGGCTCCTCGAGCCTTTCGCTGCCAATCCGAACGCCGCCCGCCCCGACCTCGCGCCCCCTCGCCTCCGCGACCCCCCTTCTGGCGCTGGCCCCCCCCAAATGCGGCGGCGCAGCGTTGCCCGCGTCTCAAAGCTCGACGGAGCCCGCGCCCCGCCCCTGGCCGAAAGCGCTCGGGATCTCGCGCGTCGCCGCTTCCAGTGGGGCCCGCGCCGAGCGGCCGAGGGAGGACCCCCTGCGGGGCCATGAGTCAGCGGCGGCTGGAAGCTCGGGCCGTCTCTTGCGGCATCGAGCGGCGGGCCCCCGAAGTCGACTGTGAACATCAACTTCGGGTCAAACGCGGGCCCGCGCCAGGCCGCGGCGGCACTGAATACCTGGCGCGGCAATCTGCCGGCGAGCACCTGTCTCAGCGGCCCATGCGACTTCTACTGCCCCCCCTCTTCGGACGCAATGAAATGATGGGCCATTTCAGTAGCTCGCTCGCTGATTCATTCCGCAGGGCGAGGATTCGGGCCCGAGGATTGTCGACGGCGTAGCTCCTGGCGTCGATTCTGTAATTCGCAAAGTAATTCATTGGTCCTAAACATACCCTTACCCGGGGTCGGTCTGGGCGAACATGGCCGTCCGCTGGATCGGGCGTTTGCCACGGCGCCCGATCAGCTTGCCGCGTGCGCGCTGCCTCAGCATCCACGCGTCAGGGCGCAGCGACGCGCTGAACGGCTGGTTTCTCGATTGGAGCGACATTCCCTGGTTTGCGTCAGGGACGTCTGGGGGGCATCGGGGGTGCACGCGGGGTTTAGAACGGCATTGGGGCGGGTGGGGACAGGCACCACCGCCCCGTTGCGGTTGGGCCTGCCCGCAGGAGCGTCGCTGCAATCTCGCGCTCCCTCGGGGGCCGCTGCGGCCGCGTTCGGGAGCGCTCTCGGGGGTCGCGAATGCGCCCGAGAGTGATTTCGACCATGCGCCACCTCGACTAGGTACGGGTGCGTGTCCGGGGGCGCCATCAACGCGCGTCGGCGACTGCGCCCCCCGACACGTACCCGCACCTAGTTGGGGTGACGCCAGGCGGGTTTTGGGTACTCCAGGGAGCAGTTCTTGGCGACCGCGCCTTGCGTTCGGGCCCCCCGGCGTTCGGGGCGAGCGCGGGATTGCAGCGGCGCCCGCCCAGAACGCCCAGGGCGCATTTTGCGCTTCGAGCCCCAAACGCTTGATGGCGCGCATTCGTGGGCGCACCTCCGAACGAGCAACTCTAGCCCGAGAGTGACCAATGCGCGATCGGCCACTCTGCCGATTGGAACGCGCGCGCCTTCCGTGCCGGCGGATGCCTGAAGAAGACACCGTTCTGTAATGTTCCATGGGCCGTCGCACCTGCACATGCGCAACCGCCGTCGGCTGCGGCGCGTCGCCCCCTTCGCCCCTTGCCGCCCCGCCTGGGTAAGGGCACGGGTATCTTTCGCGTTCGAGATTAGTTGGCGCGGCCGATCGCTGTTCCCAACTGCGATAGCAAGACCCCCCGCAGTCGCGGTGGCCTACCCCCTTGCCACCCAGACCCAGTCACCCGTTTATTTTGCCCAGGAAGACTTTGTGAAGAAACGGCGGATGAATGACCAGATCTTCGAGATGGAATAGCCGCCCTGTTTGATTTTGCCGCTTATCAAGGCCCCGCGGGAGCTGGCCCGTTAGTCTTGGACATCGTTGCGGCCTTCCCGTCGCCAGCCCAAGACTGGCACGTGCTGCGCCTGTTGCAGCAGGGTGTTCCTCGCCCCATGTTCTTCGCCGTCGGCGAGTGGCATCGGAGCGCCGTCGGAGAAGTTAGCCTAGAGGTCATCGGTTCGAGGGTTAATTTCCCCATCGCTCGGGGGGTCAAGCAGGGGCGCGCGCCCAGCAGGGCCCTTTCTCGCCCTCCGCGCGGACTCGGCCATCTGCCGCCTCGGGTGCCCCTCGGGGTCGCGACCTGCCGGGGCGCTTGCCTTCGCCGACGACGTCGACGCCATTGCAGGACCTTCTCAACATGATTCCAAATGTATTGAAATGGCCTCCGGCCAGTGCCGCCGATCCTGGGCGCACTGGATGGTGATGATGACGATGATGATGATGATGATTCTGATGCTGATGCTGATGATGATGATGTTGATGATGATGATGGTGGTGATGATGATGACGATGACGACGATGACCTTGTGTTCTCTTGTGGGCCTCTTGGAAGCATTTTGGAGCCTCTTTGGGGGCTTCTGGGATGCTTCTTGGAGCCTCGTGGGCGCCTCTATGCTGTTGGGGACGGAAGACTTGTCATGTCAGAAGACAGCTCTCGCTCGAGATATCTTCATAGGATAGAGATGTTGAAATGGCTTGCGGAACTTTCGAATCTTGGAAAATGACGCTCTTGCCTGAGACACATTCGAAATCCGGAGATGTTGGAGTAGCTGTAGTACGACATCTGTTGGAGGCGCTCTTGGAGGACCTTGTGGGGCCTCTTGGAGGCGTCTTGGGGCCTCCTGGGGGCCTCCTGGGCCGTCTTGGGCCCTTCTTGGGCCGTCTTGGAGCCCTTTTGGGCGCCTCTTGGGCCCGTCGTGGAGCCCTCTGATTCCAAATGTATTTTGGCTTGGATGAATGCAGACGCTTCTTGGGCCAGAGCTCTGCAGTCGAGCCCTAGCAATTGCTTAGTTGCTTCCCTCAGGTCTGGACACGGCCCCCCTCGCCCAAATTTTCCCTGGTTAGTGGTTCGACGCCCCCCTGCTCAGGGCGGTGGCTTCGGCCAGGTGTCTGGGCGCGTTCGTCGAGCCTGGCGGGCCCTCCAGGAGTTGGGGACAGCCGATCTGTCAGTTCAAAAACAGGCAGGCCATGCTACATTTGCAACCTTGCTCGTGGCCTTGCACTGAGCACTTGCGCTTGCGACGCCGATGCGTTCCCTCCGCTCAGTTCCCCTGCGCAGGTTCTCTCCCAGTGCCTGGCAGTGCATGGCGTTGAGTTTCCCACCGCTGGTCCGAGATGGGCGGCGCCCGTTTTCGCCCCTGCTCACGTCGACATTCCAGGCCTTCCTGCGCGGCAGCGCTCGGCGGAGATCGACAACGAAGCCGCGGTGCATCGCGTCTGCCTCTGCCCCGAGGCCCCCCCACCCCGAATTCCAACGCCGGCGCGAGCTCCAAGATGGATCCTGAGGCCGCCTGTCCGTTTCGTTGCAAAACAAGCGGGTCTCCGAGCCCATCACCCGCTCCCTCTGCATGTTGTTTGAGCCCTTCCAGGCCATCCCGCCCGCGCCCTCCGGCCCTCAGACCTGTCCGATGCAAGGGGAATTCACGAAAGCCTCGTCTAGAAATAAGTTCCTGCGGCGGCCCGTGGCCCCCAGGTTTGCATTCGTTTGGCCCTCCGTAGAGTTGTGGCAGTCCGACCGTGTCTATCTAACTATACTTGAGCGTTGCAAGCTCACTCGCCCCTTTCATCTGCGCTGCGCTCTTACGTTCCATCTGCAACGAACGGCGCACTTCAGGCCGCTGCCGCCAGGGGAAGCAATCCTGCCGGTTCGGGTGCAACGCTGCCGGGGGCGACCATGTCTTGCACGACCTACCCCGTCCAGCAGCCATACTTCATTGGATTTCTTTGTTGCCGCAGCACCCACCCGACTATTTCAGATGGTCTCATATTGACCGCTTGTTGCTTGCCACGCGTCCCTGCCTCTTGCCACAAGCCTGCCCTGCTCGTGCGTGACATCATCTTTGCATCTTTTAACCACCTCTGCCAGAGCAGCACTTTTGAGGGGAGCGTCTCAATGGTCTGCTCGCGGCCAGGGCCCGTGCCACTGCCAAGAAGAAGCATGCAATTCGAGCTCTCCTTTGCCGCCGCACCCAGCGCCCTGACCACTGAACGCCGAGTGTATCATCATCACCACCACCATCATCAAAATGATCAGACTTATCATCATGATCAGACTCGTCCTCATTCGCCCCCTTCGTCTTTCCACCCGTTCTCTTCGTCAACACGTTTCTCCTCCCAGTCCTCTTCCTGTCCGTCTCGTCGTCATCATCCACAGCAGAAAATTCAGAGGCCAAATCGGCGGAAGAAGAGGCCACGCATGTCACCCAGCCCTCTCCTTTTCCTTCGATTCATTTCCCTTGCTATTCAAACCTTTCCTTCCAACCTGTTCCACTCCCTTTTCCTTTTTCCTCGCCATCGGAAGTTCCCTCCCCCTCCCTCTTGCCTTTCTTTTTTCCTGCCCTCAAATTCTCTCGCTTCTCCACCCCTCAATCGCCCCTGTCTCCGCAGTCCACCTCCTCCATCGGTATCTGCCCCCTCCCTCTTCCACCTCGCCTCCCCATCCTCTCCCCCGTCACCCTGTCATCACCCTTCCCATCCCCTCTCCACCCTTCCCCACTCCTCGTTCATCTTCCTCTTTCTTTTCTCCCTCCCCCCCCCAGTCCTCTTGCCTTCTCCCTGACAGAGCCTTCCAATCTGCATGATCCCCCCATTCCCGGCCCCCCCCCCTCCTCCTCCTCCTCCTCATCCTCCTCCTCCTCCTCATCCTCCTCCTCCTCCTCCTCCTCCTCTTCCTCGCCCTCATCCTCAACCCGTATTCCACCTCCCCCTTCTTGCTCATCATCCTCGGGATCCTTCTGCTCCTGAATCCTCCGTCCCGTCCTCGGCTTCATTGGCCCCCCTTCTCCCTCTCCTCCTCTCGATGCTTGCCCTCCCTTCCTCCTTCTCCTCGCTGTTCTCCTATGACGGGTGACGAGGAGAAGGAGGAGGAGGAGGAGGAGAAGGAGGAGAAGGAGGAGGAATGAACGGAGAGGAGGAGTTGGGAGGAGGAAGAAGCGGCCCCTTGGCGTGGGCCAGCGGATCGACCCGCTCGGCTACATCCGGTGGCACGCGGTGGGCCTTCCGACCGGCGAGGCGACCGCCGTGTTCCGCGGCCTCGCCAAGCGCCTCGCGACGGCGAAGAAGGACTTCACGTAAACCGTGGCACCTTGGGGGGGTGGAGGGGGCCGTCGCGTTCTGGGCCCAGAGTCGCAGGCGACTTCCCATCCCCAACTTCCGTCTTCTCCACGAAAAATCAAGCCGCTCAGAAAGGAGGGGAACTCGGGATACACCCCAGAGGGGGCTGATCGGATGCAGCCCTATCGAGGATGGGCCCCCCTGTGGCCTATGTCCCCAAGTCTGCCCCAAAATTCGAGTCCATTCGAAAACCTCACGAAGCATGGGGGTAGGGGTCGACACAGCCCTTGCTACAGCGGGCGGGGGGTGGGAACGGCACGGGCAGCAGCAGGCAGCAGCACGTCCCCCACGGCGGCCGCTCGCCCCGAGGCCCTCTCAGAGAGGCCGCGCGTGCAGCAGCGTGGTTTTCTTGCGCCGGGCCCTAGGGACCAAGCGTTGTCCACCCCGGGGGCTTGCTGAGGCCATCCAAACATGACGTTGGGGGTCTGGCTCCTCCTCCTCCTCCTCCTCCTCCTCCTCCTCGTCCTCCTTGTCGTCGCCCTCTTTGTCCTCCTCCTCCTCCTCCTCCTCCTCCTCCTCCTCCTCCTTGTCCTTGCCCTCCTTGCCCTCCTCCTCGTCGCCTTCCCCCCCGTGCGCCCCGCGGCCCGGCGCCGCAGTCGCCCGGCAGATGGCACGTCAAAGCGCGCGCCGCCCCGCCCCCCGCCGTCCGAGCTCTGCGGCCTCTCGCGACCTCTGCGCCTGCAGGTCCCATCGACGCTGGGGCACTGGGAGACCCTCCGCTGGGGCTCCTTTGGCTGCAGGCGTCCTTGAATTCAGACCCCCAGCCGCTTTTTCCAGACGTCTGGCCTGCAGGGTGAGAGTTCACGCGCGGTTGCCTCGAGCGCCGCGCCAGAGGGCCATCCCAGGACGGCCTGCCACGAAAGGGGCGCAGGCATGGGGAGCTGGCCCGGCCCCTGCCCCCGCTCGTCTGCTGTGCCGTCTCGGGAGTCCCAGCGAGGGAGGGGGCCCAGAGATCCGCCGATGTGGCTCTGTGAGTGCGGCATGCCTGGAAGTTTCGACCCCTTCCTCAGGGCTCAGGGCGGACGAGAGGGGCGAACAGCAGATCGGTGAGCAATACATGCATCCAGGGTTGTCGATGATTCATGTCTTCGGCGAGGCTCCCTGGCGAACGCCCGCCCCTGGGCTATTCGCCCTTATCGTCGCCTCCGAAGGGCCGGCTTTTCATCCCGAGTCCTCTCTTGACCGCCCTGGGGCCCGGTGAGAGCCCCGAGGGCGAAAATCGTGAAGAATTCTCCCGTCATGATCATTCCGCGACCCGAGGGGCGCCCGGCCCGTTCTCCTCCTCCTCCTTCCCTCTCGTTTACTTCTCCTCCCTCCTCCTCCTCCTCCTCCTCCTCCTCCTCCTCCTCCTCCTCCTCCACCTTTTCCTCCTCCACCTGTTCCTCCTCCACCTTTTCCTCCTCCACCTTTTCCTCCTCCTCCTCCTCCTCCTCCTTTCTCCTCCTCCTCCTCCTCCGCGTTTTCCTTTTCCTTTTCCTCCTCCTCCTCCTCCTCCTCCCCCTTCTCCTCCTCCTGCGCCCCCCTTCTCCAATCCTCTCGCGCTCCTCTCCCCTTCCTCCCCACCCCCCTCCCTCCCTCCTCCCCCGCTGCAGCTGGCACGAGGGTCGCGAGCAGCCCTGGCCTTCGAGGGGCACCCCGTGCACAGTCTGCGCGCTCTGGCCCTCCCCCTCGGAGCGCCCTTGCCCTCGAGAGGCCCTCGTGCGGCCGCGTGCCCTCTGGCGAAAGAGGGGCTTGTGCTTGGCCCGCGTTCCTACGATTATGTCGGGCGTGTCCCCCTATAGGGGGATTTTCGGCAACAAAAAAAAATACCCAAACAATACCCCAAAAAGGTCAAAAACATTCGCAAAAAATAGTCCCCAGACTATTTTTGGATGATTTGTTGATTTTCTGTTGGGGTATTGCTTATTTTTCGTCGAAGATCCCCCTGTAGGGGGACAGGCCCGACTGAATCTTACGGCCATGTTTCGACTGCGGGTCCTCCTGCCGGAGCCTCCTGCGGCGGCGTACGCTCGAGCTCTCTCCTCCCGGCAGCCTCTGGAGAGGGGCTCGGGCCAGCTCGGCCCCCCTCTGCCCCCCGGGACCCTCGTTCGGGACCGTCCCCGGAGGGGAATTGGGGAGAGTCAGAGCGTGAATTACCTCCCCCGCTTTCGCTTCCAGGCAAAACCAAGTCATACCACGCGCCTCCTCAACAAGCGGCCTGACCAGTACAGGCCGTAGTTTGGCATCGTTTGGCATCTCTTGGAAGCGAGGGTGGTCAAAAGCGAGGTAGGTTTGTTTTCCCCCTAGAGAGGCAGATCGGGAGGGGTGGAGGGAGGCCATTTTCAAGGGCGCCCTCGAGGGGGCGCGAAGTTCGTCGCGCTTCGCGGCTCGGCTTCGGTTCCTTCTCGTCCTCCTTTTTCTCCCCTGGGGGTCGGCGCGAGAGCGCGAAGTCGTTCGCGCTGTCGCGTTTCGCGAAGCGCGAAACGCGAAGTTAGGCGCTCTTGTATGTTTCATCCGTGCCGCGCCTCCCACGCGGGGCATGAGTATGGGGCCGGAGGATCGCGCCGCATCGCCAGTGCATCGGCGATGCGGCGCGATCTGAAGCTCGTTCCTTCGTCCCACGGTCGCCGATGCATCGTTGATGCGGCGCGATTTTATATAATCTCACCTGCTCCAGGCGCGCATTTGGGAGACCTTCACTTCGGGAGGGCGAGAGGACTTTTTTTAACGGGGAAACAAGAAAGGGGAGGGAAGGCTGGAAGGTAGGGCGAGACAGAGAGAGGGTACACCAGTGTTAGGATAGCGAGATATAATGAGAGGGAGAGAAAGAGAGAGAGAGAGAGAGAGAGAGAGAGACAGAGAGAGAGAGAGAGACGGACAGACAGAGAGCGAACACAAGACAAAACTGCAGGGGTGGAGGGGGGACCAAATGAGGGGAATGGAGGATGGGACTGCATGAGGGGACAGAAGGAGGGCACGGGTCAGCGGGGGAAGTGGAGGGAGGTTCACGGGAGCGGGAGCGGCCATGGGCTAGGGGTGGGAGGGGGCCCGAGCGGTGGGCGGAGGAGAGCAGAGCGAAGAGGAGGGAGGCGAGGGGAGGAGGCAAGTTGCGGTCAGGAATTTTGGTTCAGCGTGTCGCTCTGCCAGCTCTGGTCCATCACGCCTTCTGCGCGCACGCTCTGAATTTCATGGTCCCCGTGTGTCCAAGTCCCCGGGTTTTCAGGATTTCCGAGCCTCGCGCCCCGCGAGGCGGGGCGACACGCTATCCGCTCGCAGGGCATGGCGTGTCGATGGGGCCGCCGCCGCGACACACTAAGCAACCGTGTCCGGCCGTAGGTGCGCTCGCGCAGATCTGGCATTCCTACCCCTCCCGCCCATCCTTTCCCATCTCGCTGATGATGTCTCTATCCGTCGACGTGTGTCACATCGGACCTCGAACTCCTAAAAGGACCTCTATCGTGTCATGCGCAGTCAGGTAAGCGGGAGCTGACGCTGGAGGAAGAGGAGGTGGAGGAGGTGACGGATGAGCAGGAGGAGGAGGAGGAGGAGGAGGAGGAGCAGGAGGAGGAGGAGATGTAGGAGGAGGCGGAGAAGGAGGAGGAGGAGTGATGGGGACGAGGAGCAGCAGCAGCAGCAGGAGCGAGGAGCGGGAGTAGCGGGAGGAGCAGCATGACCAGAAGAAGGCGGGACAGGGGGAAGGAGCGGGGCGACACCGACGAGGAAAGATCCGGATCCAGAGGAGTGGTCCGCAGTGGGGCGAGACTGTAAGCACGGATCCTAAATTGAAGCCCAAGTTGCAGCGGGAGCATCATTAAGAAGCACGACAGTTTTCCGATTGCAGCACATACCAAACGATAAGATCTTGCGCGCTTGAAGCAGTGCACGGGGAGGGCGGGATATATCAGGACGTAGCAAGGGGCGAGAGGCGAATTGTATGTTGAAGTCATATCAAGTTCGGCGCGCTCGGGCCATATGTCATATGTGGCATCCCCTCCTTCCCACCCATCCCTTCCCATCGCGCTGATTTGTCTGCATCAGCTGACGTTTGCCATCGCTCACATGAAACCTCCCAAATCATCCCATCGTACCATGTGCAGTGAGAAATTCGAGTTGGGTGCGTTGGAGGAGGAGGAGGAGGAGGAGGAGGAGGAGGAGGAGGAGGAGGAGGAGGAGGGGAGGAGGAGGAGGAGGTGGTGGATGAGCAGGAGGAAGAGGATGAGGATGAGGATGCGGAAGAGGAAGAGGGAGGATTGTGCATTCGACCACGTCAATCCACTCACGTCACGGATCGTCATCAGCAGCTGCACTCGGAGCCAGGAAACAACAGACCACACGCACAGATTGGAAGCCCGTTGGGCAGTGCTGCTGGCAAACCGCACGGAGCTGCAGCTCGACCTCGCGGCACAGGGCAGCGCACAGTGCGGCGAGGCATCGTCACAGGGAGCGGCCGCTTGAGCGTAACAACGTGCGCCGACCAGCACAAGTGGGTCGCATGGTCCGACAAGGATGATCGCGAGGCGCAGGCTGCTAGACTCTGATGGCTGTCTGGGAGCCAGCCCGGAAGACCGAGGAACAGAGAACGAGCAGGCTAGACCGCAGCGAGGCTGGCGCTGCGTCGGCCACCGACGTCAAACCTCAGGGGGGGTGGGCCCGTGCCGCCACAGGCGACACGGGACACGGGGATCAAAACAAGACAGCAGAGATCACAGAAACAGTCGCATCACATTCGGAATTGACCTCGGCGGTGGCAAACACGAGGGACCCACCAGAAACCAGACCCGCGGAGGGCGCCAGAGCCGACACGCTCTGGGCGCCACCTCAGAAAGGGAAGACGGAGGCGCAGCCAGTGTCATGCCTCTCCCGCCACAAGCGAGACCCCGCGGGCCCGCGCTGCCAGTCCAACAGTCAGCTGGCATTGCAATACTACCCGCGGATCAACACCACGAGCAGCACGAGTCCCCGAGCCGAGAGGGGCACGGAGGAGACCTGAAAGCGCGCACGACAAGGCTTCGGGAGAAGTCCCAGGCGTGCCGAAACAGACCGCTGCTCCGGATCAAATGCTGCACATAGAGCACTGCGTGCAGAGAAGGCCGATGCGCTGTTAGTCAGATCCCGACCCGGTCTACCCCCCCACACCCGATCGATACGTGGTGGCAGTGATGGCGACGACGCTTCCCTGCGGGGAGCGGCCGCCACCTGGCAAAGCTGAGCAGCATTGCCCAGGGCATCTCCTGCCTCTTCCACACGATCTCGTCGACAGGGGGTGAGTTAGCAGCACAGGCAGTGGGTTCTCGCCAGGACACCAACATGACCTCGACTCTTGACGTTGGGTGCTTACTTCACACGAGCAGGGACAGGGCGTAGCGGCGGCCGTGGTCACGCCTACGCCAGTGGGAGGCCCCAACACAACGCGAGGCCACATTGATGACTCTACCGCCGCCGGTGAAGTGCCTACATGACGAAAAAGCAGGAGTCCCTCCCCGTCGTTCCAGTCCATCATGATGAGCTTATGCTGGTTGGCCTTCAAGGTGTCCCCAGTGAGGCCCTTGATTGCTGGCTCTCCTCTGCAGCTGGCTCTGGCGGGCCTCGCAGCAGGAAGGGGAGGAGCGGGAGGAGCAGGATGCCCAGGGGAAGGCGGAGGAGGGGAGAGGAGGAAGCGACAACAACGATGAAGGACTCAGATCCAGAAAAGTGGCCCGAGCTGGGGCGAGGGCGCCATTCTGAACGACGGGAGCACAGCGCCGAGCGTGGCATGAGGCCGAAGCTGCAGCGGGAGCACCGTTCTGAAACACCGGATTCGTTCCGATAGGAAAGGAATGCATGAAAGACAAAATAATCATGAAATCCAATGCTCAAAACATGCACGGCAAGGGCGAGATACTTTCAAGACTGAGTCGGGGGAGGGGGGGAGTAGTATTCAGTTTCAGCAATTGTTGTGGGGGGAAAGGAGAGTGGAGGTGAGTGGAGGAGGGATGAGAGGAGTGTGAGGGAAGGAGGGGCGGAGCCGGGTGGATCAAATGAGGTACGGTGTCTTCCCTCCCCACACCGTTCCGCCCACGCTTGTACCCGTTCCTCCCCCTCCCCTGTCCCTTCATCCCACCTCTCCATCTCCCGTTTCCCCTTCCCCATCGTTGCACCGTGCTCCAGGGGCCAGCGTAAGGGAGGGCGGGCTGGATGCTCTCTGCAGACGCCCAGCCGTTGTGGCGGGCGCCAGTTAGCGCTGGGCTCCTTAGGTGCGCCTGCTCCTGGCAAGAGGCCGAGTTGGGATGGTGTGTCTGTTGCCGCCGTGGTCGTGCCACGGTGCACGAGAGCGCCGTGCCACCGCCTATGGGGCTGAACTCAGGCGCTTCCCGCGCAGGAGCAGGGAGGCTTGGCCTCGCAAAAGCAGCCCTCGGGCCCAGGCGTCATTACGCTGACGATGGTGGCGGCGACAGTGATTCCTCTCGCTTCGCGGGGCGCACGTCCGGAGCACGTAGAGTCCAGTCGTTTGTGGGGCCTCTTGGGAGCCTCGTGGGGGCGTCTGCCCGTCCCTGGTCGCTCTTCTGCCGTCTGGCACTTTTGAAATCCGGGCCGGTGCTCGTTTTGGAGCCAGCTTTGGGGTTCTCTTGGGGTCGTGTGGCCGTCTTGGGGCGCTCTTGGACCGCTTTGGGGCTTCTCTTAGGGTCCTCTTCTGCCTGTGAACCTCCATTTCTGCCAACTTCCTCCCGCCTCGTTCGCTTCCTCCTGCCTGCCCATTTTTGGCCTACCTTATCCTCGTTCTTCCTCCCTAAACCCTAAAACCTTCTTGACGTCTTGCGCCGTCTTGGGGCGCTCTTGCGCCGTCTGGCCCCTTCGGAGGCCATCTTGGAGGCCTCTCGCGGCCGCCTTGGGGCTCTCTTGGAGTCTCCTTGGGCCGTCTTCGAGGCACCTTGGACCGTCTTGGGGGCCTCTTTTGGCCGTCTCGGGGCCCTCTTGAACCGTCTTGGGGCCCCCTGGGGGGCTTCTTGGGCCGTCTTGGGGTCTTCCTGGAGGCTGCTTGGGCCGTCATGGTCCTCTGAGAGTCAAAAGAGGCGAGAACGCGAACATCGTCTTACTTCGCCTGTCCCCAGCCATCGCCTTACATCGGCGAGTTCGCCGCCTGCTGTGCCCGCACTATCCCGAGCCCTTGGCGACCACATCCACGACAAAACAGCATGGGAAGAGAAGACGCGCAGTCCAGTCGTTGGCTCTCTCGCCTTTCTTGTCGGAGCACAGCACGTGCAGTAAGGATGTCGTTGTGAAGCCGTGCCGTTCGGCCCGCCCAAAGATCGTGCTATCGTATACGAGTACGCGGGCGTCTGCATGGTTTCTCGAGGCCTCTTGGGGGGAGGCTTCTTGGAGGAGCCTCTTGGGAGCCTCCTGGGGGCATCTTGGGAGCCTCTTGGAAGCCTCTTGGGGGACTCTTAGGGCTTCTTTGGGGCCTCTTTGGGGCCTCTTTGGGGCCTGTTGGGTACGCCTTGGGCCGTCCGGGAGCGCTCGTACGCCGCCTAGCCCCTTCAGAGGCCACCTTGGAGCCATCTCGCCGTCGCCTTGTGGCTCTCTTGGGGTCCTCGTTGGCGGCCTGGAGGGCCTCTTGGGCCGTCTTGTTGGGGGCCTCTTTTGGCCGCCTCGGACCCCTCGAAGGATTGCAATCCTGGGTTTTTTGTTTTGCAATCCTGGGTTTTTTTGCAATCCTTCGTTGGGTTTGTTTTTGCAATCCTTCGTTCAAGGGCCATCTTTGGGGGGCCTTCCTGGAGGCTGCCTGGGCCTCCCACGGCCCTCGGAGAGCCGAACGAAGCGAGAACGCTGAAATCTGTCAAACGCCACAGGACATCATCGAGGAGGAGGAGGAGGAGGAGGAGGAGGAGGAGGAGGAGGAGGAGGAGGAGGAGGAGGAGGAGGAGGAGGAGGAGGAGGAGGAGGAGGAGGGGAGGACATCATCGGTTTGGGCTTCTGGAACAGTTATTGGGGGTCCTCCTGGGGCGTTCTCGGGCCGTCTTGTGGGCGGCACGGGCCCCCTTGAGGCCATCTTTATCAGGAGCGACAGAAGGACGTACACGTACATGAATCCACGCTGGTTTCGAGAGTACGCATTGCGCAAGTGTTCGCATACCGCGGCCCGTGTCGCAAATCGAGGGGCCGTGTTCATGTACATAGCTGGGCGCGTACGTCCTTTGTGGGCTCCCTACTTTAGCCGTCCTGGGGCCGTCTTGGGCCGTTTTGGGGGCCATCTTGAGGCCCTCGTGGAGTCCCAGGAGGCCCCGGAGGCCGATACCATAGATTGTCCAGCATTTCGGTACGTGTTGTCGCCCCACGGAGGGGGGGGCTAGTTTGGTACGGTCATGTGGCGCGGCTCCAGGGGGGGATAGGGGGGGAGACATAAGAACGTAACACAATACAATATGTACCAAGAATGTAATCATGGAATACATTGGATACGCTGCATTATCGCCTTCGCAGAAAACGCTGCCGCTCAGCACGTCATTTCCGGACGTGGGTTGTAAAACTCACGCCGCACCGCCGACCCCTTGGAATCCTGGCATTTGTCCGACGGGTTGGAAGCGTCCCGCAAGATGTTCTTACCCGGTGGCCAGCACAGTCAGGCAATGCATCCGCGACGAAGGCGAGCAGCAGACTCAGCAACGTGTTCGATATACTGCGCGTGCCGAGGAGCGATGGCCGAGGGATGCCGTGGGTGTGGGGGCTGGTGCGCGCGGCGGCGGAGACGTCCGCGTTGATACGGGGTTCAAGCTTGCTGATGTCACAGGTCGGCGACAAGCGAGGGGGGGAAGAGAGGAGGAGAATGCCTTCACAGAAGACGGCGAGGCTTCTCAGAAGGCCTCGGCCTTCTGAGACGTTTTTTGTACCTCCAGGGAAGGTTTAGGAGAAAACTTCTCCGAAGGCCGGGGAACTTTCGAGCCTTCTGAGAAGGCCCGCTCCTTCTCGCTTCCCCCCGGGCGCGCCGTCGAGCAGTCTCGCCTGAACCCTCCTCCTCCTCGATCCTCGGTTCTTCATCCTCGATCCTCGGTCGTCGGTCCTCGATCCTCCCAGGGTCATCGTCACCTGGAGCTCTTGGGGGCCTGGGCCGTGGAGGGTCGGGAGCCTTGGCGTGAAAAAGCTAATTATGTCCGCCGCTGGGCCGTCTTCGGGCCCTCCAGGGGGAGGGCTGTCTTAGGGGGCGCGAGGGGCTCAACTCATGGATTCTCCCCTGATTTTGAAGGATGTCAGCGCTCTCGTTTTTTTTTGTGGTTCCCTCCAACGTTCCAAGGCGGCCCAAGAGGCCCGCATGATCGCCGACAGCCAAAGAGGCTCGTGGCTCTTGGAGAGGACGGCGAGCGTGGAAGAGGGAAGGAGGCGGCCGTGCCGTCGTGCCGTCTTGGATACTTCGTGGAGTTCCTCTGCGGGTGCTGTGGAAGCCGCTTAGGGGCCTCTCAGGGGCCTCTTGGATTCCTCCTGTTGGCCCCCTTTGGGGGCCTCTTTGGCGCCTCTTGAGGGCATCTGGGGAGCCCTCTTGTGGGCAATCTCGGAGGTGGAGGCTCCCGAATGCCTGTTCGATGTCCTCCTCCTGAACACCTCTTTAGGGTCATCCGGTGGGCACCTGGGGCGTCCTAGGGCGCGCTCTTGGGCCGTCCTGCTGGTGCCGTCTTGGGGCGATCTTGAACCGTATTGGGGCCATGTTGGACCATCAGGAGGTCATCTGGGTCTGTTTCTGTTCGTCTGGGGCGGGTGAGTGCGCAACCACCTCCGCCCCGCCCCCCCTCCCAAACAGAACTCTGCGGGGGGAGGGGCGGCTCAGGGAAACAACCCCACACGCCGAGGATCCCGAGGAGTGAGGGAATTCTGGCAATGGTGAACAAGGCGATGATGCTGAGGATGATGATGACGATGATGATGATGATGATGATGATGACGATGAGGATGAGGATGAGGATGAGGATGAGGATGAGGATGATGATGATGATGATGATGATGATGATGAGGATGATGAGACAAATGATGATTCTTTTTTATTATGATGATGCTGATGCTGATGCTGAGGATGATGATGACGATGATGATGATGATGATGATGATGACGATAATGACGACGATGACGATGATGATGGTGATGCTGCTGATGATGCTGCTGATACTGATCATGGGGATGATGACGAGGATGATGATGATGATGATGATGCGGAGGATGAGAACGAGGATGATGAGGATGCTACTGACGAATGTGATGATCATTGTGACGATATGTTGCTGATGATGATGGTGATGCTAATGGTGATGGTGATGATGGTGATGCTAGAGGTGCTGATGATGAGGATGACGATGATAATGATGAATCTGATGATGCTGAGCATGTTGATGATAATGATGGTAGTGGTGCGCAGTGATGGTAATGATGATGGTGATGATGCTGATGATGATGATGGTGGTGGTGACAATGATGATGGTGGTGGTGATGGTGGTGATGATGTTGTGGATGATGATGACGATGAGGCTGCTGCTGATGATGGTGAATATGCATAATTAATATTATACTGATGGTGATGCTGGTGATGTTGCCGCTGATGATGATTGTGATGATGATGGGGATGGAGATGGTGATGATGATGCTGATGATGATAATGACGATGGTGACGATGGTGCTGGTGTTGCTGGTGGTGATTGTGATGGCGATGGAGATGGTCATGAGGGTCGTGAAGGTGATGATGACGATGGTGATGATGATGATGATGATGATGATGATGATGATGATGATGATGATGATGATGATGATGATGATGATCATGACCAAGATGATGTTGGTGACGATGGTAATGATACTGATTGGTGGTGATGATAATGGTGATGATAATGACGACGTCGACGAATTTGATGAGGATGATGATCACATTGGCGATGTCGACGACGAGGACGACGACGGCGATGATGACAACTATGCTGAGTATGCGGATGACCAGAGGGGCAATGATTATAAGACGCTGCAGGATCATGATGGCGATGATGTGGATGAGACGGTGCAGTGCAGAAGGAAGATGATGCGCATGCGGACGAGGATGAGGGCATGCGGGAGGGGGAGGAGGAGGAGCAAGGAGGAGGAGGAGGAGGAGGAGGAGGAGGAGCGGGAGGAGGCGGAGAACGGGAGATACGCGGCACTGGCAGCAGATACAGCGGCAGCTGCAGCAGCAGAGGCAGCGGGCGGCGGCTGCGGGGAGGGGGCAGGAGGGGGGGCCGCCCCCGGCGGCGGCCGCGCACGGCCAGGTCCAGAGGGAGCTGCGCGACCTGCGAGCCGAGGCGGGGGCAGCCCCTCATGTGGTTCCCGCCTGAGCGGCACGCAGCATGGTTTTTGAAACAATGCATGAGTTTCACGGACTGAGGGCGGCACGATTTCA